TTGCTGTATAGCTCGAGGCTGAGTTTAGAGTCTATCCCCTCTCTCCACAGCTCTTCCATCTTTTCCCTGATGTGTTTCTCTACCACATTGTTGAAAAGAGTCATTCTCGGTTTCCCTTGATAACCGATGACAGTTCGATACCTGATTTTATCATTATCATCGTTCCGCTCAGCTGATTCATTATACTCGGCGATCTGGATGGAAAACGATATGGATCGAGCATGGAGTTTGGCTGGGAACGCCACGATCATCGCATCGGCGCAGCGAGGCTATGCCATTCAGCGCCGTCGCAGCAAGGTCAGAGGGCAATGGCTTCACTCCCATAATATTGAATTCCGGGGAAGTGCATTCATCAAGTTCCACTCCGGATTTTGATTGGAAAGTTCTCGTCCTCAGAGATTGAGAGAGATTCACGGCACCGGTCGCATGGACTACAGAATCAGAGATATCTATGGGCATTATACAACATTTGCCGACCTGGACGATAGGCGTGCTGAACCTTGTCGGCTAAATTGATTTTCCAGAATTTATTCCGAGCCAAAGTTATGTTCCGGCATACGCGGGGACGGCCAATCGAACTACGTCACCATTCTCGTAAGTTTGATGATGGCCGTCGTTCCACTGCATTGGATTAGATCTGATAGCTCTCGGTGAGCGATGTCGACGAAGGCTGCGGAATGATCCCGATGCGGACTCGATGCGGAGCGTCCCGACGGCAGCCATCATCAATATCGAAGAAATTTTTGTTATGCTTCATTTCGGTGCACGATGTTCGATTTCGTTTTTTACGGAATCTGAATCTATTTTTCCGGCCGGAAAATATGGCTCCCGTACTATGGTAGAAGTCGCTTCCTCCAGCGGACTTGGCAGCTCCGGAAACATGGAAGGGATGCTCATACCCCGCAACTTTACAATCGGATATTGTCATTCCCAGATAGGTCCCGTATTTCACGGAAAAGACTCGAAATATGCCTCCATGCCCTGTCACTTTCATTTCACTGCGGCGAGGGATCCCGCCGTACCGTCTCCTGCAACTCCCGGTGTCTTGAATTCTCTACGCGGGAAGCGACCAACCGCTTGCTCCGGGTATTCCTCCGCAAGTTCCACGTCTGATTGCCGCGCGAGTCCTCAAGAGCTTGAGGATCGATATTAACAACCAGAGATAACCTGACGGCGAGCGCTCGCGCAGAACGTGGACCCCTCAGCAGTGCGCTTCATAGGGCCCCCGATACTCCCTCAGCGAGCGCGGTAGAGATTCGAGGCGGTCCAGACGGATGAAAAGCTCGCACGTTCCGGGCCGGATCCTCTATCACGCGAAGTGCCTGAACGTCTGTTCTCGTATACACGCCATACGACGATCTTCGCGAGAAAAATTCGCTTGATCAAGCCGAAGTAGGCGGGATCAAAACTTTCTCGAGGAACCCGCCGACCGAGAAGAACCTCGGGGCGTGAATGGCTCGCCTCCGCGTCCCAAAGTAAATTCTTCATCCACCTCAAAAAGTGGCCATGCGCTAATCGCAATGATAGTGGCTCCCTTCGGCCTCTTCCTCTCAATCAGCTCGCGATATTCCTACGATGTCCGCGTGCAGGGCATGCGATGCCGGATGGCGTGGGTCGCGGGATGTCGAGGTCATCGGCTCGACTTCGGATGGGTCTATCGATATCCGCATGAATGTAAATCAATACACATCTATTTGACGACGAGTATGCACATCTGTTCGGAAGCACCATGTACGTGTATCTACGTAATTGCATGCGGTATGTATGTGGCCTCCGTAATCACCTGCTGTAGTCTGCTCTACGAAGCCTATCGCGTCGGATGCATGTTCTGCGGCGAGTGATGTCTACTAGTGATCGTCGTCCAGACGTCGCACATAGGACCCGCTCGTCCGGCCGCATTGATGATTGCCAAGCAAGCAAGTGGTATCAGCATGCCCCATTAAGTTGAGTGATCAACTCCGAGTCGCTAAAATTCCCCACGACGAATCCTGGCCTGGTTTGTCGTTTTTGGTCACCATCGTCCGAGGGCGACCGAGCCGCTCTGCCTGAATTCCCAAGCTGTGGATGGAGTCCTTCTGTCGTGACCCCACGGAAAAAATCCAACGATTTCCATCGCTCTGCTACGAACGCTATTCTTCCCGACAACTCGCCGCGATCCCTGCGAAAAGCGATAGAATGTAGAGGAACTCTCGTGAACATTCCAAATCCTTGTGCAGCTGGAGTGTTTCCCTGGCAGCGCGAGCGATTGAGGTCGATCTGAAGCCCGGGAAAAGTGATTCTCCGTTAGCGAGAAAGCAGGAATTCCAGAAACGACGATCATACTCATGATCGTGACGAGTTCGATTCTGACCAACCTAGAGGTCTGCCAAAGCTCGCAAACTAAAGGCGAGGAGGATTCTTGCACAAGTCGGAACAATCCAAGAAAGTCAGAAAATGACTGTATCTCAGAAGCTCAGAAAGGGAGGTCCGGGAGAAATTACGCGATCTCGCTCCCTGGGAAAAAAGGCTCGAGAAGAGAAGCCCGTCATGCTCTAATCCGGCGTTTCTCAAACTAGGGGGACGCGTCTCCTAGGGGAGACGCGGGAGAAATCCAGGGAAGACGCTTGGGGTTCCGAGAATTCCCGACCGACCTGATTTCAAGTTTCTGAAAGCTTACCACGCTCATTGCTTGTACTCCAAGCTTATAATCATTGTACAATTAAAGGATGAAGCCGTATGTACGGATAAAACGGCACTGTGGCATGTCCCGGTCGAAACTCTATATTCCCAGATATTCGATGACCCTCGGGGGAGACGCGAGCGCTCCCCAAGGGACAGAAGAGAGACGTAGGAGAAAAAAGTTTGAGAATCGCTGCTCTAATCGATACCGAAACCGAGTTCGTCCCAGGAGGTCATTCAACGATGCACATGTCGGGGAAAGGTGAAGGGAAAAATTCCACGGAGGCACTAGGCCGGATTACTACGTTGAATCCTTCAAGTTTCGTATCTTCGAACGAACGCACCACCTCCTCTTCCCGACTCGGGACCCAGGATCACGCTCGCCGAGTTCCCACGCTACCTGAGGGCATACGTAGGTTGTGTGGAAGCCGGTCCAGTTATTCAACAAATGCACGAGCGGTGCGTGGCACGCTGTCTGCGGACTGCGGTCGGTGGCGTCGGGAGACAGGCAGGCTTTCTGTCGAGGTGTCTAGCCACCGAGTGAGCCAAGAACGCCTGTCTCGCAGGGCAACGAAGAATAATGTAATAAGGTAACACGCTACAAATTCTTTAATGGACTTACCACGACCAACGAGAACGGATCTTACGCAAGCCCGAAGCTGGCGGGCGGCCGTATCTCCCAGCATGTACATACACCGACCGACGTCGGCACACTGAAAGAGGAGCAGGGGGGAGTTGCGATGTCCGTGAGGAAGCGATCCGTCATCGGTCTTGTCCATGCAAAGTGCGGTCAGCTACTCGACGAGACTTGGCGGATAGCGATGATGGAGTTCTTTGCCGCCACGTTTAAATGTAGTGATAAGAGCGGCGAGGGATGAGGCTCCCGGGTGCGGTCTCCGCCCGCTCACCACCTCACAGACTCCATTACTTTTCGGGAAACTTGCGCCTCCGCGGCGTCGCAACAACTTCGCTCTCAGGGCTGCGATCGATCACCGGATCATAGAAAAAAAATCCGCTCACGGTAAACTTCTGATTCGAACAATGCAAAATGCCAGGACTTCAAGGGAGAATTCCAGCATTCGATTTCACTCCAAACCCGAGCTCCCGAAGACCCGGGCCTCGCGGGCGTTATGTTTACGCCTCTGTCGTTGAGACAACAGGGTATTGTGGATCGCAGGGAAACAACACTCCTGAAACTGCAGTTCGGTCGATGCGGTCCACGTTCAGGCTCAGCAGCGAACAGGAGGACCCGTACGCATGCATATATATTCATGAGGAAACAGTGAGGTTGCGTACTCCGTCATCCCGGGGAACGACCTTCGGGCGAAGCCTCTCTCGGAGAGCAACAACCCCGCGGAGCGGCTTTCCTCAAGTAATATCCCCTTCATCTTCCTACGCTACGGATCGCTTTGTAGAATACGCGGGGAATGCTAACGGATTATAAGGGGGATCGAGATATTTTTAGAATTGTCCTGAAACGAAGAGCAAGAAAATTCCCAACGAAATACGAAACATTTGGCGGGAGACCCGCAAGTTGGTCTGCGACGGCGACTCTTTGTCGAAGCCAGTGAGAAAAGGCTGCGATTGTTCCCATTAAACGAGGTAAGTCGCTGAGATTAGCGTTATCTTTCAGAAATCGCTGCAAAGAGACCATACTGAAGCCCGAGGTTCCTTTCACCGAAACTCCTCGCCCCCCGCTCTCTTCCCCCATGGAGGAGCGAGAAGCACTTAGAACAAATAGCCTGATGAACTGATGAGAACCGGGGCGGAGAGGAGGCAAAAGGCCAGGGAATAGGAGGATCGCCTTCCCACTCGAGACGTCGGACGGAGCCGCGGGGAAAAAGGAAAGGGGAGTCGGTGGCCAACGACGGGCCAAGTGGCATCCATTATTTAACTTATTGCAAGGGAGAGAAAACTCTGAAAGAAAAGAACACAACGTTTGCTCGGAGCAGCACTCCAAATTAGATTACCCTGTCTCACCGACAGCTCTTTCTCCCCGACCGAACCGAAAAACCAATTCGCGAAACTTTCCAAAGCAGCCGTTCGGTGCTTCACTTGCGGAAGCGGAGCGGAAAATATTTCACGACTCGGATAGTTCTTCCGCTGGAAGTACTGTAGAGGAACTTGCGGCGGCTGGCCAAGATCACCGGAAGCCGTACTCGCGGAAAGAAAAACTTCTATGAGGTTTGCAGAATGAATGAGAACCGTATGATGAATTTCCGTCCCGCACTCAAAAGCATTATTATCGAGGGGATCTTGAGGGTCCGTAAAGCGAGTTTGGCCGAGTCACGCTATCGTTGTCCCAATGGTGAAAGTGCAGAGAATTCGAAAATCTGTTTGTCATGGCTGCGACAGACCATCAGCGGAGCACTCGCCGCGTTCTTTCTCCGTCTCAAGGACTCTTCAATTGTCAACTAGTCCGGCATTCGTGGCATAGCAAATCACCGCCGTCAGCTAGCGTGAGCGTTCCACCGTGATGAGTTCAGTGATTCTGGGTGAGTTCTTCCCTCGCGGAATCTCCGATTTGAAGAGTTATTCTGCCTCGGACGCTCCTGCTGGATTTCTAGGGAACGATGATCGAGCCTCAAACCGATGGTGATCTCTAGAGTCGATGTATTTTGCGGAGAATGGCTAGATGATCTCTGAAATATTCTTGAGGCCTCTCTTAGACTTCTTGAGAGATATCTCAACGATCGGCTCCTCAAGCAGTTCAGATTCAGCCGATTGTTCTTTTCGAGAGACTCCACTCGGATATATGTTGATGTAAATTTTCCTTCGTCTGGCGTCACTTGCGTGAAAAACTGCTTTAGTAATTATTGCTTTCTCTACGAAGGATACTGGGACCTGCGAGGCCTCGGACAGTCGATACGACTGTTGCTGGAGCAGGTCGGCGAAAAATATGAAGAGACACGCTACACATTGGGGAACGATCTTCAGGTACGCCAAAGAGCGACGTACCGAAAGCTTCGGGCTTCTCCCAACTACGGGGAGTAGGAAACTCCCCAATTTCCCCCCATAAGATCGAATTCGCGGGCTTGCCACGGAATGATATGGAGCTCTCGTCCTCTGCTCTACCTCGGGGAATTCGTAGCGAATTCGATCACCAATTATTAGGGCTCTGACCCCGGGACTTCCCGGATCTTCAGCTCCAGGAAGTTCATTCCGCTCCTCGGAGAAGTCCACATCCCCTGTGAGATTTCCTCGACGACCAAAGTTGACGAGCCATTTTCAATCTCAATAACGATGATTACTAACTAAATACACGAGCACAGAAAAACGAGTGGAGGACAATCAAGACTTCGTCTCCGTTGATCATTGGCGGACCCGGCGAGAGCCGTATGGATTTCCCGAATTTGCCGTACTACATTGAAACAAAGGCTGACGGGTCGCAGCTGAAGCTCAGTCAAAGTGTGGCCATCATGAGGTATCTCGGAGAGAAGCATGGACTCATTCCCACCTCTCTGGAAGAACGCGCTCTGCTCACAGTCTACGAGCAAGAGGTGACCGATCTACGGTAAGTGGTACAGCCCCTCGAAGAGTCGTCCCCCGATCCCCGAATCGGACTTCGAAGCTTGAAAAACTGAAATCGGTTTCACCCCATTCTCAGGGCAGCCATTTGTGGATATTGCTATGGAGGGACCTTCCCACACAAGTTCAGGTTTCCGAACTACGTGCAAGATATCAGAGACGTCCTGAAAACATGGGACCAGTTTCTGGACAAGAAGCAATGGATCATGGGAGATTTAATGACCTATGTCGACTTTTACTTGTACGAAATGCTCGACTGGCACATCCTTCTCGACAAGACTATCCTGGACGCTTTCCCGAATATCGCCTCTTATTCTGAGCGGATCAGGAAATTACCGGCGATTGAGGCCTACATGAAATCCGACAGATACATAGATTGGCCCCTCGTCAGCCCGCTTGCCCCGGTCTGGGGGAGCATCAACCACAGCAAAGCATAACAATACAGTCGATCACAGGATATTACGATACTCTGCGGAGAATGAGAAATTATCCCCAATAAAGCATCTAGCTGAACCTCAGGCCAAATTTCTTCCCGCGATCCTGTTGACGTGCTTCCGAAAGGTGGCAACTCGAGATGGCGCTCCCCAAGCTCTTACCCTCGTTGCTCAGCTCCGCTGGTGCTAGCTCGTTCGATGTCTCGGTGAGGGATTCCTGGTACATGAGTTCTCGCGGAAGGAGGAGCGATACGCAACGCAGGCTCGTGAATCATGACGGACTCCTGCATTAGGGTCTCGCGTCGAGAAATCGTCGCTGAAAGACTTCGTTCAGAGCTTAAGCACAGAGGATGAGTCAGCTCGAGATATTCGGATATGAATGTTGTCCCTCCCTCTCCCGCGAGAGAATCGTCCCGCGAGAGGTCCTCGGGCGTGAGAGGATCTTTGCGATTCGAGGAAAAGTACGATGTTTATTCACTTGTCCCTAAGCGCGGGGTCGAATCCGGAACGATCTTGTTAGCTCAGGGAGCCGTTGTCGGCGACGTGAGCCCTCGAGATTCCTCGATACTCTTCAAAGTGACACTGTAGGGATCCATGGGCTTGCCATCTTCGTTTTTAAGCGGGAATTGGAAAGCCGTATTGTTCGCACAAACTCCCGCTCCGTAGTCTGCGATGTCCATCGTCTCTGACTGCGGAGATGCAAAGTCAAGAGTCAGAATCATCCGCAATTACGCAGAAAAAATAATTTAGATCGATCATACATATAAGAAGTGCCGCTGTCGGCATGAGCGTCAACGATCAAAGTGAAATTCGATAGGCATCGTATAAGAAATACTCGGAGTCTCTTCATCTCTGAGAAAACAATGCTATACCGGGATCTTCTTCAGGAACTTCCTCGCGATGGACGTCTGTAAGTGAGCGACAAATCTGTTAGGGCTGGCCTCTACGCTATGACGACGGCATTTTTCGGCCTGTACGTGGGGAGTTCCTCAATGATCTTCAGCGAGAGGCAATCGCTGATAGTGGGTAGGAGCCCGTCTGCTGTAGCGGGGAGCCCGGGGGGAGCACTCATTTCAAATAGGCGAAGACCTCCAATCGCAGTCACGAGCTCGAGCTTTGGAAGGATTCTGGGCAATCGACTCACGTATTCTGCGACGAATTGCGGCGCTTCGGCGCAGAGTTTCATGGTGACTTCGAGGGCTGTCATATTTCTATAGTACTTCTGACGAAGCTTGGTCCCTTGCTCAACTAACTGCAACGTAAGATGAAGTCTGTTGAAGCCTCATCCTCAATGGGCTCTAAGATGGGCATCCAGATGTCCTGCCCCGGTCAATAACTTCAAGTTTTGCGAAGAATCTTCTCCATTGTGATTCAGAGGAAGAGTTCTGTTCAGTGTGAATATGAGGCTATCCATTATCCCGTGAGCGTTTCATTCCCGCAGAACCCACGGGGAATGGGGACGGTTGCATCATTCTGTGGGACAACTCTCGAGAATTTCGCTCGCATGGTGGTTGACCTCGAGCAATCGAGGTTCTCCCCTCCACTCCATCCGAGAGCCAATGAACGGGAAATTCAGATCGGCGCCCCAATATTTTGCCTCAAGCACAGCACTCACGGCTTTCGGGAGAACGTTCGTCAGACACTTGATCCAATCTAGGAGCGGTTCTGCCTCGTACACTAAAGAAAGGAACGATCGCAGATGAGTTCTCGCTTTCTCTCCGTATCATTGGTCATCTTGATTGAGGGGATCGAATTATTCTGTCGAAGTATATGACCGATCTCAGGATTCTCCGAAGCTGTATCGATCGGCAGTATTGCACTCACAGCACAGAAAAGCTTGACACCGCACATCCGACAGGAGACATGATGCGAAAACTCCGATTATTATTAGCGTGATTCTCATAGCCACGAAAGCTTCGAGGAGTCCCTCTGATCGAGCTCGACGATTGTCGAGGGGTCTGAATCAGAACGCGAAATCTTCGATGTGGCCGAAAAGAAACCCATCCAAAGGTCCAACTCTACTCCGTCGAAGGTCAAAAATTTAGATCAGGTTCTCCAATTGTTTGCAATCCATTTGAGCAAGCGGGACTCTTTAGTTTAAAATGATTTTTTCTCTATGAAGTTCATGCTGCATTCGACCGCGAGTGTTTTCATGCGACAAATTTTCGAAGACTCATTTTCGCTTTCCGACATTTCAATTTGCTCGAGATTGACGGTCGATCCGTAATGCCAAGGAGCGGCAGCTCTCCGGAAGGGATCAGAAAATTTTCTTGAATTCGCAGAAGATCGCCGTTGAATCAACCTTTTGCTTTCCCTCCCGATAGTTTCCGTGGGAGCAAAATGCGCTATCGAACCGAGAGCGTACGCAGAAGCTGCGGTCGTTGGAGCTGGCGTATCAGGTAGAAGCGAAGCGATTGCGTCGTTGACGGATGGTGTATTGCAGCCTCGTCCATTAGACGTTTCGCTTCAGAATCCTGGGGCGGAAATTCTCCCTTCGTCCCATTTGGCCCCGCGCCCAACAGACCCGGGAGCCAATCGCTGGCCAGTCGTCGTCGACGCCAGGCTGCCGCCGAACCGCAGCACTCAAAGGAAGACGGATTGATACGCGATGATTGGAGGTTAGAATGTAAATTGAAATTAGCACAGCGCCGGCGTACGAGACTTGACCTCGAACCGTCCCCGGGCTCCGGTCAAGAGTCGAGCCTCGAGCCCATCTTGGGTGTTTTTTTCGACGGGCGGACAGACCATAAGGGACGCGAGCTGGGCCTTGCTCAAGGGTACAGAAAGAATTGCGAGACCTCGATTTATCATTCGCTCATCATCGGCGTCCCTTCGGTCTCCGGCGCTCCAGGCTAATCAATGACGGAGCGCGCGGAGAACGATCCGCCTCGGAACGCAACCAAGCTCGGAGGGCACGCCACGATCTTTTCGGCGCACCGCTCTTGGGGTGCCCCTCCCTCGCGAGAAGATTAACGCACGCGTCTTTCATCGACGTCGTTGCTGCCGTAATCTCGTTGCACCGATAAGCGGTTGTTTGCAGAAGTTTTAAGTGAATGAAATGCTTGCTCGGCAGGTTGCAACATGTCCGAGCGTGTTCTCCGGCGTCAATGCTCGGTCATAAAGCACCTCTTTACAGCCCGCACGAGACCAGAGCGGCATTTGAGGTCGTAACCTCATTGTCCCAAGCACTACAAGTTGTTCCCCAAACGAGGCACTTTTATCGTTGCTTTCTATTCGCAATTCGACTCAGCTCAAGGACTCGTAGACCTGTTCGCCGATCGTTCCCTCGAGCGTCCGTCTCCTCACCTCATAGGTCAAATGCTTTTCTCCCTCTCTCTCTCCCTGCGTTATATAAGCGCGTTCCGAGTCGGCTTTCAATTGCTCGCCCCAGCTTACCGAGCAGTAGGTCGGCGAGTCCCACCGGCAATGAGTCTTGCAGTCGTTCGGCCAGCCGTAGCTCCGGTCATGAAGACTCCTGGTGGGGGCCGAACGCGTGTCAGACATAATGGTTCATTATGGCTTATTTTCGGCATCTCGGTGGGTTTTAGGCGATAAGAATCACTCGTAGATCCCGAATTCTGCGAGATGAGAATCAATAGATCGATTGAAAGCCGTGGGATCATTCGAAAGTCGACAGCGGAGCGGAATCATTTCATGTCCGAACTCGGTATCTTCCCGATGCCGTCAGGCCCGGACATGGATGGGGACACCGTGCGAATTATACAGTCCAGTCCGACTCGCCGATGGCAAGCCGTCGGATTCAAGGCTTATTGATGGAATTTCAAGCTGCGTGATTTCTCGAATACCTTGGACGGACTCCGACCCGGTGAGAACTCATCATTGGAGCCAGATCACAGCTCGATGAGAACACCTCCAGCTCGACGTCTGAAGACGCCCGGCCTGTTTTCGAGAGGACGGGACGATGGAGACTGCTCAGATTGACTAGCTGGTGACTGTGGGAAGCGTGGATCGCAAAAGAGCAATTCGCGACACCCATCCCCCGGAACTCGCTGTAGGTTACTTCACGAGTCTGGTTTTCTCAAGTTTTTTTGAGTAAGTTCTCTTTCCACCAGGACAGAGATTGCGTCCACAGGGATGTCATGGGGGCACCTGGATGGATCAATGAGAAGGAACTTCAGGCGTTCAATGGTAGCTGGATCCATCCCATGTTTGCCGCGGTCGTTTGCCGGTATGGGTACGAGTCGGTTCTTCTTTCGGAGGCGCACCGTTTTCATTCCTCTTCGCTCGTATACATTCTGTTGAGAATAGGTCAGACAGATAGATCTAATCGTTTTTTCAATAGGGGCCGTGTGGACTCTATCGGACGGTCCGATAGGAAGGAAGTGCTTGGAATGGTTTTTCAATAGTGGAAATATGAGGTGGGGTGAGACGCGAGCCACTCTCCGACGGCTTCCGAAGTAATATCGTTGCTTCCTGGCGTCCGAGTTGCTCCTTTATTGTCGAGTCGGGGCGTTCACTTGGAAAATGCAATAAGAGCCACGCTCAAACAAAAACACTCGCTGGCAGACTCGCCGCTCGCTTGCTCAACCGAGCGACCGGCCAGAGCCTCCTCCTCCTAGCGAGTATCGACCTTAAGCGTGAACGACTTGAAGTTATTTAAAGTTCTTAATGGCAGCCCTCGACCCCCATTCCTCCCCTGTCGTACTCCTCCATCTCGCTCGCTCGCTCATTCCTTCGTTCAACCACTCCCGCAGATCTCGTCTTATACTCCTCCAGCTCACCGGCTCACTGGTTTGAGCTCCAGGGGTGGTCGACACCCCACCCGCGACTCCTTGATGGGTTTAATATGCAAACGGAAGAAGTATTCGAGTGCGGAGGCTCGAATTTTGAGTGCAGCCGACGAACGGAGGCTCAGCGAATGTTTGAGAGACACATACCGAAACCGCTCATGTTAGCCTCCGAGGGTATCTAGTTTTTGTCAGTCCGGCTGCGCGTTATGAGTAGCGGGCCTCAAACCTTGCTCCGACGAGAGCATGGTGAAGAATAACCCGATACCTCAGATATTCGCCTCGATCCATATGGATTTTCATTCCCAGCCAAGGCTTTGCGACGAGAGGAGCCCAGA